TTCGTGTGTATCCACAAATTCAGTGGAAATTTTAAAAGATCAATTCTTCCAAACTTCCAAACAGGTTTTACACGTGTTTTTTTTTTCGAATTTCATTTCTAAAAAATAAATTAATCAAAAAAAAGTTGGAATTTAATATTACCATTCGATCGGCTATTTACTCCAATTTTTGATTTTGGTTTTTTTTTCAATCAATTTTGAAGGTGTTTGTTGTATCATTTGCGTAGTTAATCGATCTGAACGATTTTTGACGATTTCAAATGTAAAATTTCAATTTCTTACAATTTGGAGCCGATCATTTTCTCATCAAATCCTTTTTGATTACCGCAGTCAAAAAAATCAATAACAATAATATTAATAATCATAATAATACAATAAAAAATAATAAATTCAAACGACTTTGGATCTTTTCGATTTTTTTTGACAATTAAGTTGTCCGTCGTTTAAAATACTATAATAGGGGAATATTCTAGAGAATGTTAATAAAATGGTCATGGATAGGGGAAATCAATATTATCGGAAAAACAAGAGTAAATGGGAATTAACGGTGACTATATTCAGGACTACCTACATAGTACAATAAAATGGTGGTTGAAAACGATAATGGATCTTTTTGGTTTTTTTTACAATATATTTTGTCCATCGTTTTTCATAAGGGTGTTATTAACAGGAATTTAAATATAATTTGAAAAAAAAATTATTCGAAGAATATAAAAATATTTAGGGATACTGAAGACGAATTTGATTTAGAAGTTATATTAAAATAATTCACTTACAATCCGATAAGCACCTTGATTGTGTGCTTTAAATAATTCGAGATTTTTTCGGTTTGATTCGAAATCTCAACATCTTCTATTTTCTCTTGGATTCAAATAATAATTAATGATTGAGGAGCATCGATTCCTTCAATTGTTTTTCTTTCTGAAAGCGAATAATTGATTGCAATTTAGTAGTCAATTTTACCTTTTAATATGCATCATTATTATATGCTTTAATAAAACGACATAAATCGAACCACTGTTAAACATATCCGTAATTTCAGGTGTCATCGTAATCACGAAGTCTCGATGACCTTCTTCAGATTATTCTCGTTTTGACAGGCTCGATCAATGCCGAAAAGTAGACAAATCGTGTGTGGATTCAACGAGATCACGTAATATCTAAAATGAAGCATTTAAAAAATTATTCCTCGCACGACATTGAATTCTTACCTCTTAGTTTCACATGATCAGCATTATTCATATTGGAATTTTCATATTCCTAATAAATTTTTTGAATTGTTGCTAAATGAAAATTTTGTGAAAAAATATAAATGAAATAACCCATACCACTCCATCAGCACCTTGATCATGTGCTACATTCTTCGGGCCAATTTAATCCTGATTATCTTCATTGGTTTAATTTCGTGTCTCATTATTTCTCGGAGTGACATCTCTCCTTCTCAAGGTTCGTGTGAACATCACAGGCCAACACGAATTTATAGTACATCGACTCAAATCGATTTTAAGGAATAATTGAATTTATCTGGAAAAAAGAAATGGAAAATTTTGAAAGAAGTAATCGATACCATCAAAAAGCTGCCATAAACACATTCCGAAATCAAATGTTCGAATGAATAACATCTAATCGCAAGTTGTTCTTCGGAAAGCAACTGGAAGTATATCTCCGAGTGGGAATAATCTTCCATCCATCAAACATCAGAATCATGAGGAGTCAATCAAGATAATTTCTTCAAAATTGAAGCTTTACTATTCCAACTTGTTCATTTGGAAGTTAATTCGGATTTTATAAAACTGAAATGAAAAACTATTCTTTGACGGGATGATCTACTCTTACAGCCAATTGATCGTGATTGATCCAATCCAGCCATTCTCAATAATCACATTTGGCTAAGCTTCGGCCAAAAAATTCATTTTAGGTTGGACACGATGATCTTCGATTCAAGCAGAAAAGTCCAATCACAAATGATTTTATCGATTTCGACAGTTGCGATCGAATAGGAGTGTCCTAATATAGGAACGAGCCATAGTAAAATTATTTCTTCTTTCTTTTTTTTTCTTTTTGGTTTTTTTTTTTTTTTTTTTTCTTTTTTTTGTTTTTTTTTTTTTTTTTTATTATTGGTTTTTTCTTTTTTTTGGTTTTTCTTTTTTTTTTTTTTTGGTTTTTTTTTTTTTCCTTTTTTTTGGATTTTTATTTTTTTCTCATTTTTTTGAATTTTTATTTTTTTCAATTTTTTTGGTTATTATTTTTTTATTGTATTATTTATTTTTTTTTAATTATATAAGTTTTCGCGTCCCGTCTTCACACCAATCTCTCGTAGAACAGTCGCGTGATCTTGGTTTTTGCGCGAATCGCCGAGCTCCTTTTAGATCTTACTGGAACACTCGGTTCATTTTCCGGAAGTGGCGGGTTCGCTAATGCTTCGTCCGCAATCGCTTGGATTTGCGAACTCAGCCCTTTCACGATGACTCGCAAAAGGCTTAGCTCCCTCGCCAAATCCATACGCTCAGCCTTTGCCAGGTTGCTAGATGTTGATGTTAGGAATTTCCTGGCATTGGCGATCACGAAAAGACCGCAACTGAACCCATCCGTCTGGGCCTCTTGATGTTTTTGAGGAACCCATCTGACACTCGAGAGTGTCGACGGGAACAGTGCGGCAAGAAGTCGCTTCAGCCCATTCGAGATGGCGGTCTTTGACTTGCGCGAGCGGCTTTCGACCAGTGAGTCATAAATGACACATTTGGCGGTCGCCACTGTGTAGGCCGCGAGCAGCCAGTGCTGATCTTGGTGCACTGGCAGGAGGAGCACCTCGCATTGCCTTCGGACTCCGACCGTACACTCCCTTAGCATGGCGGCGACATGCTGGCCGTCCAATCTTATTCCCAATCTTACAGGAAAATCGCTCAAATTGAAGGGCTTGAGGTTTGTATTTTTAATGTAACTTATGTTTTATAGTAAGATAAGAAAAAAAAATGTCATATGAAGATTTGGCTCGACGATTGATGTGCCCGCATTGAATTTATTTTTATTTTTTCCTGTTTGGTTTTCGATTTTCGGTTTATGAGGCGCGATATTGATCGACACTGTCAAAAAGAAAAAATGCGGCACACAAAAAAAAAATAAAAATAAAAATAGGCTTGTCGTTCCGAAGCCGAGTATTCCAATTCGCGCGCTTAGGTTTCTGAGAATCAGCGTCGCTGCCGGTGACGGTTTTAAATAAACTTGCGTAAAAATTGAAATATCATATTCGAAAAAAAACGAACAACTTGCGATTACGTAGTTTCGCAGTATATCCAGAGTACGTTCCGCGGCATCCGAATGTTCACTGTTTATATTCAATTTGTCGTCTCGAAGAAAGTGGGATGGTCCCCAATTATGCGTAATCTTTTTTGCGATAATAATAATAACATATCGGTTGTTTCGCTGGTTAGAAATCGAATTTTTTAATGATTTAATTGCAATTTTTATTACGAAATGGATCAGAAATGGGTAATTATGCGATTCCAGTAAAGCACTCATGATTGAAAGTGATTTTATAACGCGCATGTGTTCGTTTTTTTGCGAATGTAATGCTTAATCACGATTTTACTTCATTTCCACGAAGTTGTGACTTTCATTTTGATATTAGGTTTTTGGAATCTTTAAAACACCCGATATACTTATACGTATTCATTTAGTTCTATTGTCGACGTCATGCGACTGCGTAAAATTGGCTAAATGAAAAAAAAAACCGATGGCAGTGGTCTTGGCACAAAAGTAAAATTGTAGATTTATGAGCCTATGCATAAATATCGGTTAAAGGCACACACCACACACTAGACCTCTTTTTAATTTTAGCTAATCCATTAAGTGTGGCCGCGGCCGAACCTAATTTTTGAGTACATTTCGTCTACGCCACTGACGCCGAATAAAACCGAAAGTGAAAAGCATTTTAACACACACATACACGTCAAATATTTGGCTCAGCACTGTTCGATAACTGAATGGACGCGAATGAGTTCCGGACCTGCGTTCGAGCGGTGCCCAATATCCGTTTGTTGGAAGAATTCTTCGGATAGCTTTTATTTCTTCATTCATCCGATGATTGTAAAAATTAACATTTTTTAAAAATTAAATCAGTTTTGCCCGCTAAAAAATGAAAAATATTGGTTAATCTTGAATATTTTCCAGGTCGAATTTCCGTTTTGCTTTTGCTGCTCTTTGGATTCCCACCAACTTCACGATATGGACGATTATTTTTAAATTTTTTGTTTCCATTTTTGTTTCCAATTTTTTAAATATCAAAAAAAGGTCAGGTAAGTCTTTATTTTTTTTAACCTGTGAAATATGCGAAATTGGTAAGTCGTTCAAAATTTTTTTACGAATTTCGATCATTGAATTAAAAAAACCATTTGATTTTGCACATTTACGAGCCATTAAAAATTTGTGAGATGTTTATCGTCATTTAAAAAAGTGTGTTGTTGAAAGCAAGAAAACGACACGTTTCGACATAGGGAAATTCGACCCGAAATTATGCGGATTTAAATTGAAAATTGCGTCGTATCTACATGATATTTCCGTGCGCGCACAGTGTGAAAACATCGAAATAATACAAGTGGCGAGACCATTTCGAAAGGCGCACCTCGTAAAATTACTAGCGCACAGAAATCACCGGACGGCTCTGCAGCGCTTTAATTATTAATTTTGTCAAATTATTTTTTCCAAGGAGAGTGATCTCCATAAATTTCTTTCAGAATTTACAAACCATTTAATATTCTGTTGCTAAAGAATAATATTAATAAATTCGTTATTATCAATAGATCACAATTTGCTGATTCACAACACAATGAATGAAATGACAAAAAGGATTAAGCATTAATTCGCGATGGTCCGGTTGGAGAATGCCAATATGCGAGATTTTCTGTCATTAATTCAAAGTCCGCACGTTTGATTTTTGGTCTTCGGGATGTCCCGAATTCGACTGAAAGCTTGAATGCCTTGGATGGACCATTTCGATTTTCTTACCCATATTCTTTCCACATTTCGTTTCCTCTTTTCGACCACTTGTCAGCTTGATAAACCGGCTCGGGCAATGAAATGGGAATTTTGCAAATTTGATGATGGGAACTCAACGCCAATAGAAGTGCCTCCACCTCGTCCATGGCCTTAAAGCCGATCTCATTCCGAAGCAACTGATAGCAGACAGCTTGTGCAGTTCCTTGAAACGCATTGGCCGACACGATGTACGCTTCGTTGATATTGACTCTCGTAATATCCCGATCAATTACAGTCAGCGGCTTGACATTTGAGATGTCTGAAGTCAAACTATAGACAACACAATAGATGGAGCGTCTAACTGCTATCGAGCCGATTGAAGAATCTTGCAGAATTTCTTTTTGTGGCAATCACGACTGCGAACTTTGGCGGCCAGTTCTTGAGATTCTGCTGGTTGGCCACCTCTTGACAGGCGGTTCTCATCGCGTTGAGTTCTTCATTCAATATCTGAACACGACAAAGATTGGATTGAAACGAGCCTAGCGAACGGACCATTTGATATTGGCCTTCGGACACACCGTCGCGGATTATCAAAATCGTTAGAGGATATTTTATACGGTAGGCCACAAACTGCTCGATCATCCACTTCATTCTTCTCTTGAGAATATCCGATTCGACTTGCTCCTTCTTCGGATACTGATAGTGAAAATCCCCAACGAAAGCTTCTTTATGAGAAGCTCCATTAAATGAGAAGTAAAAAATGAAGTGCGACAAATCTCGATTACAAAAAAAACACCACAGACTCCTATGACGCTGGGGACCATCACACATTCATTCGAGTTTCAGACTTCCTACAATCACCACTAAAATCACGTCGTATTTTTGAGCATACCGTGCGAATTATTAGCCAAATCATCGATGAATATGATCAGGTCTGTTTTATCTTTGTTGCTGAAATTGGTGAACAGCTGAAATGTCTGGTCGAAAGAATAGAAATCGCAGTAGAACAACATACGCGCTTCAGGGTCTCGCAGTAATCGACGCCCAACTTGTAAGCACTTATATCCTCGATGATCCATTTGCCAACGGAAATGCCCGACAGTTTGCAGCCATCGCTGAACAATTTCAGGCAGTTGCTAAAAAATGATATAATGGTGTTGTGTCCTTGAGTTCCGCGTGTATGGTGCCGAAGCATGGGGATCGAAGTGAACAGTGATGTAGAGTTGGATAGCTTTATTATATCCTTAGATGGAACACTACAATGTATGATGGCCGGGTATTTATACTAGTGGGGATGTGCTTCTAGAATGTTCTACAATGCGCGTGTGGGGATGTTTACGTGAGGAACTGGGTTCTAGAATATTCCATAACCTACGAGATTACAATAGTTTACGTGAGTGTGCTCACAACAAATGGGAAGAATATTCTTGTGAACTTCACTCACTTGGCAACGCTTTTTTTTATTATCATGAGCCACAACTATAGTGGAACAAGATGCTCCGCGAACAAGCTTTGATCCATTTTGCGAATGCGGGGAGCTTCTCGTTGGATGGCCGTCACTGTTTTGGGATTTGCCGAAATAGTGACACCGAACCTGCAACCCTCTCAATAGTTCAAGCATCGCAATTTTATAGTTGGTTACATTTTCAAATATTTATTATTAGCTCCGCCAGCGTCTAAATTGAGATCGTGCAGCAATTTTTGAATTTCGCTGTAGCGAGTTTTGACGGGAATCAGGCTTGGCTGAAAACTGAAAAGGAGAATTTCGGCAGAGTTGTAACGACCGCAGTTATTTGTTTCGCTTATATACAATCTGACATCTCTAACATGAGCAATGAGGTATAACGACCAGATGGAGATCAGATACTTGCGAAATACAACCATCGCCCATTTATATTCAATTTTATGGGATGATTCAATTAAATGAGTGTTTTCGCAATTTCATGAAATAAAATTCAATAATTCAAATACGAAAAAATCATCGCCGTTACCCTATTTTTACTTAATTCTTCTGATGAGTTGTTCAGCAGAAATGCGAAAAAACATCCACATATCCATCAAATCGAAGAATTTCGATCAAATTGTTTCAGCTGTGTTTCTACAGAAAGACACAAAATTTGTCAGGCAGTCTTATGGAAGACCCTCGGCACAAATATGTAATTTATATTTAACCGTTCTAGCGCACCGTTTCGCCCATCCTCAATTTGTGCATTTTAAAGTCATTTTGAGGTTTTCTTTCATTCATTTTGTGTCTTAACTCTTCGAAATTGTGTCATCTTCAAAAATTTTCAAAAAAAGGTCGAAATGCGCTAATTCAAAAATGTGCTCGAAATCCAGTGGTCGAAATGGTCGAAATAAACAATTTAGATATCTAAATGTATGATTTTATCGCATAAAATTATTGAAAATAAAGCCTATTTTTGATAATAGATCAGTGAATCATTCATTTGCGCTTAAAATAAATAAGAAAAAATACAATGCTGTTGAAGATTGAAGAAATGTTTGGTTGAGGAATGGGCCAAACTATCTCCAGAATACCTCCGTGCCACAGTCGAGGCATGCCCGAAGAGACTCAAGGAAGTAATGAAGAACAAAGGAAATCGTATCGAGTAATGTTGATGTGTATTTTTGTTTATAATTGATTCAATAAACTGTTTGTGAATTTTCAAGTTGATTCGATCATTTTTACAAAAAATTACATCACTTTGAATGTGTTTCCATAATTATGGGTCACCCTGTACATACATAAATAAGGGTGTACCTCATGTATGCAATGCGCACTACTGTAAGGTGTGCCGAAAGCCGAATGAAACCGGGCACGTATGTGTCTCTTATATTCATAATAAATTATTATATTATATTCGCGTAAAATATTCCTCAATAGACCAAGATGCAAAAGCCGACGACGACGACGTTGAGCATGTTGTTGAAAAGCAAGAAATTCCCACAGAAAACTAATAGAGGACCAGCGCAAAAACCACCTCAAACGTTGCGATCCAACAATTTGGCACATTTCAATATCAATTCACACGTTTTTACGAAATCCGATAATTTTCTCAGTGTTGGAGGAGAAACAATTAGTGGATTCACGAGATCATCGACGATTTGATAAACGTCAAACCCATCGCCGGTCCTTGTATATATCAGACTTTGGTTCGTGACGCTCTACAGCGAACACATTTCCCCGCATCCTACACCTTCTAGATAAACCAGTAAACGTATTTTAACGATAGACAACGAATGGTCGCCTGCAAAAGAAACGAAGAACACAGCTCGACACTAGGTGCACTTTATTTGCGGCCGAATAGCGGTGGTGCATTCAGCGGTGTTGAAAATCTTTGGCGTGTAGCAAAATCTTTAAGGTTGAATGTTTCGAAAAACCACGTTTAACAAATGGGTGGCGAGTGGTCCGGATAGCCATCACATGGCTGATTTGGCAATGTTGCCCTCTTTACGTAATCACAATGATGGTTATTGTTACATTTTGGTAGTAGTAGATGTGTTTAGTAGAGATTTATTTGCACGAAAAACAAACACGAAGACAACAAAATCCACTAGCGAAGCATCAACTAGCAATGATTTCTAACATAATGGACACCACTGTTTCTCTCACACGGAATGCCTCCCTCAGATGGCCAACAGGGTCCTTGTTAATTGTTTAGCTCCTCTTTTCAGAAATCCGGTTAATTTTTACGACATGAAGACATCAATCTCCTGGTAACTCAAAATCAATCGGATGCGACAAAATTTGGCTCCGGAATCAACCCGATCCGACAGGCAATTCTACGGAGAAGATTGGAAAATTGTCGGATTGTCGGACATTGTTCGAATCTGATTTTTTTTATTTTCAATTCAAAGATCTGATTTTTTTCGAGTTTCCAAAGTTCCTAAACAAGTATATTGAAAAAAAGTTCTATAAATGGAAATACCTCAAAAAAATCAGAAGCGCCGGACCTCATCACGAAAAAATTGGAATTGCTGTCCAAAAAACAAACTAAAATGCAGATTTCGGCATTTGAAATGTTTGAAATGAACAAAAATGATTTTTTTTCCGAATCTGTGAACGTGATCGAGATATGTTATAAGGAATGCACATTTCTATTCATTACGCTTAAATTCTTTGAAAAAGAATGATGTCAAACTTCCAAAAGCGAAAGAGCACGAATGCTCATGAAGATATTGTAATCCCGAAGAAGCGAGTATGCTTCAGTGATTGTGTGAAAGAGGTCCACTTCGAAATTATTGAAGGTGCGCCATACTTTTCATATTTTTCATCGTTGTTTTCTCGAGTATCCCGTCTTTAAAATCAAAAATTCAAAGCAATTTAATTCGAAAATTTCGATACTTATTCGACATCTTTTCATCGAGAAAACGACTTGTTATTATTATTATTGGGAGCTTGGGGCAAAAAAAAAACACAATAATAAGAATATAATTGAATAAAATAGGAAAGGCGGGGTTTAGAGGCCCAATCATCTTCATAAATATACAATTTCGCATTTTTGGTGCGTCGCTTTTTTCGAGCGAACAGACATTTTAAAAAATCATTAGAATCGTGTAGCAAACAATTCTCGGTGAAAACCCAAATATTTAGCTTTTTCGAGCATTTTTCTTTTTAAACGACTTCAAAGGCGACTCGTGCGGCCTGCATTCGGATTGTCTTCGTCGTTTCATCTACGTGCTTCTCCAAATTTGGTCAGTCTTGCGAGTTGTTTTCGTTGATTCCGTCCTGCGAAATCGCCTTTAAAGTCGTTTAAAGGCAAAATGAAAAAAAATATTTGTTCGAGTTCAAAATTTTTGATGTTAAGGCCCCAAAATCGGCCAAAAGCGCACTCGAACCACCGGAGATCTCGTCGAAGTGCGGATCTCGAAGATCAAGGATGCGCCGAGCAGCCCGAAGCGGCCCGCAGTGTGGAGCCAAGAAGACATCGAACGCAGCTTCGGACCGGAGGATGAGTCGTTGGCGGAGCCGGAGGCGATGGTCGCGCTGTGCTCGACGCACTGCTCCGAGGCGTCAGGCTGCTCCGAGAGCTGTCCCTGCCTGCTCGACGAGGTGCTATGTGACGGTACCTGCCCGTGTTTGCCAAGTAACTGCCGCAATCACAACACCATGCGGCTACTGGCAGAGTACCGTGCCCGTCGAGAAGGGCACGGAGAAGCTGGTCGAGGCCAATCAATGGTGGTCTTCGGTTCCGGTGGCAGCGGAGCGCCCTCCATTGGTCGTCGTGTCGGAGGAGGAGGAGAAGACGGAGACGGCGGTGGCCGGAAGCAGTGAAGACGCGGAACAGTCAGGACAGCCGGAGTTAGTGGAGGCTCGGGAAGAGGTGGTGGTAGCCACTTTAGAGATGAGACACTTTCATCCCGAGATGATGGGCGCGTTGCGAGGTCTCATCACTGATGATGACCTGCCCACGGGATACCAGACCTTACAAACATCTGGTGCTGTGACGGCCGGGCTTTTGAACCTGGTGCAGTCGCAATACCGCAAGGTCGGTGTGGTCCTTCCGTCGGCCACGAAAGCTGTCATCGAGCGGACGGTGGACGAGGACGGCGAGCATGTTGCAACCATGCTAAAGGAGTGTACCGCCGGAGTCCGAAGGCATTGCGAGGTGCTCCTCATGCCAGTGCACCACCATCAGCACTGGCTGCTCGCAGCCTATACAGTGGCGACCGGCAAGTGCGTCATTTACGATTCGCTTGTCGCGAGCCACTCGCGCAAAACCAAGGCCACCATCTCGAATGGGCTGAAACGAGCTCTCGCCGCGCTCTATCCGTCGACACTCTCGAGTGTCAGATGGGCACCTCAGAAACATCAAGAGGCCCAGACGGACGGGTTTAGTTGCGGCCTGTTCGTGATCGCCAATGCCAGGAGATTCCTCTGCTCACCATCTAGCAACCTGGCAGCGGCTGAGCGTATGGATTTGGCGAGGGAGCTCAACCATTTGCGAGCTGTCGTGAAAGGGCTGAGTTCGCAACTTCAAACAATTGCGAACGAGGCATCTGCGAATCCGCCACTTCCCGAAAATGAACCGAGTGTTCCAATAAGATCTAAGAGAACCTCGGCGATTCGCGCGACAACCAAGATCACACGACTGTTCTGCGAGCGATTGGCGTGACGACGGGACGCGAAAACTTATATAATTAAAAAAAATAAATAATACAATAAAAAAATAATAACCAAAAAAATTGAAAAAA